GCTTAGGGTTTATGGTGCAGTAGAACAAGAGAAGATTCCTAAATCCTGAGCCTTCAGGCCCTACACACACACACACACCTCAACCTGACCTGGAATTTTAAGTTCCAAGCCCCACATTGGCATGTCTCAAAGTTCGAAGGCTGCTATGCGGCGGACGTGTCACCGTGCTTGCTTCAGAAGTACGAAGTTCCCTGGATCCTATACTAGTTTCCATTTTCTTTTCCATTATACCCATATATATATATACATATTCAATCCCTGATAGAACCCCTATATATGTAATCCCTTATAGGACCCCCTGAGCTTGCAGCTGCTTTGGCTTTGGAGCTTTCAGAAGTGGGATCGCGCGTGGCCGCGGCGTTAGGAGAGATCCGAGCCATGGCGAACCGCAACTACAATCACTACGGCCGCAACCGCCGTTACTGGATTATAGGGTTATATAGAGGTTGTGTAGGGGTTATATTGGGGTTATGTTGACTTACATAGGGGTTTTTCGGTGGTTTTATTGGGATTATGGAAATGAAAATGAAACTACTGTATACCTCCACAGCAGCCCAGGTTATCCTCCTTGGGAGAACAACGCATGGCAGTGGAGGTGGGGTCCGAAAGCTATGCGAAGCTCAGACGCTCTCTAAGATGCGCGAAGTGCCCGGTTTAGGGTTTAGGGTTAATGAAGCTCATCCAGTCCCGTTGAGGTGTACCTGGAATTCTTGTACGTCGGGTGTTGCTTACGTGACTTATGTATGCCGAAATGTGGCAGCCTGATCCTTTGTAACACTTCCACAGCCACAAGGCAATCCCATACCATGGGTAAGATTCCTTTCCAAGCTTGACTGGGTCCACGTGATTTCTCCAAGGAATGCTGTTCAGAGTTGCTTTCCCGCATGTTTTGCGTTGTCATGCTCGGGTAGTCCGCCTGTATGATCTTTATTCGCTGTGTACCCGCCTGCCTTGCGAGCCTGCAATACAGCTTCCTAGCCAGGGCGGGTCAGCTCAGGGCAGTAGCTAGGATGCCACAGGATTCTTAAAAAGTAGAAGATGTACTACTATGTACTGCTATTACAGCTCAACTTCATGGGCCCCGACCCTGGCAGCTGGCCCTACACCTCAACTCCGACGCCCTGCCTACCCCAAACCCCTGAGCAGCAAACCCGAGCCATGCAAATTCCGCACCTTTGCGAGGCGCGATGACTGGTGCCGCCCAAAGTCAATGGTGGCAACCTCGAACTTCAACATGAACCGCGCCTCTACGTCATGAAACGGTGGGAAGACGCGCTTGCAATTCATGTAGGGGTCGCTTCTTTCTGGAGAGCGATGGTGAACTAATCGTTGACCTTGTCGTTATGTGGTCTCCTGCATCCCTATGGGACCCCTGTGCAACCTTCCAATCTTACAAGTTGCGAGTTCCCCCTCAGGTCCCACTGCTTTGATGTTTGATATTGTGCACGTAGGCAGTCAAAAGCAGCAAAGGTGCGCAGGAGCTCTTGGGCAAGTACCGCTTTGATGGAGAGGAGGCAGCTCTTCAATCATGCTGCTGGTGCATTCAGCTTCGACTTTCACTTGGTATAATCACCTAGACCTTATGCCCTGTAAGTACAAACCTTGAAGAAACTCAATGGCTCCCTGGATTTCCCAGGCTTTTCATGCACGCAACCCCCATCGTGACCTGCACGTTGGTGACGTTGCGCGCGAGATGCAGAGCCCGATCGAGTGGACCAACATGGTCACCAGATCAGTACACAGTGCCCTTGTGTGCTTGATGTTGGTATGATAGATTGGCTGCTGGCACAAGTAATTTGGCTGGCCTGGAGCAGGCATGGGATAGCGTCGAATCAAACTCAGAGTTTGATTCGACGCTAACCCATGCCTGCTCTAGGCCAGCGCAGCTTTGCCAAATTACTTCTGCCAGCAGCCAATCATGCAAGAGGGGTTCGTTTGGGGAGAGTGGTCCGGCCACGACTTCACAAGCATGCCGCCAGTGATGCCCGTGCCTACCTCGGCCATCAATGTCCCTGGGTAATTTTGATCACAAATCAAGGTATACAATCGGATTCTCTTTTGTGCGCATTAGCAGGGAGACGACATCAGAGGCGTAGGATTGGTCGTACAGTACTTTGAACTGACCCAGGTGCAGAACTTCATTCAGAACATCGTGCAACTCCAAGGCCTGAATCCACAGCAGGTGGGCTCTTGCCAAATTTTGTTTTTTTTTTCAGGGTTCACACGTGCGTGGGGTCAGTGGATTAAGGCTGGGGCTTTGGCGCGCAAAGCTGGGATCCGGATTCGGGAAACTTGCCAGGTGGCACAACTCCTTAAGGACACCGCCGCCGCTCAGGGCGAGTACGAAGATTGATTTGAGAAAGATTTGTGAAAGGGATCTCCCTGGATCTCCCAGAAATTTCAAGAGTTCATCGTTTCCTGCAGTAATTCACAAGATCGCAATTGGACAATGACCGTGGACTTCCAAGCCCGACCGGGCTCTGCGTGCTGCTTAAAACAGGCTGTCCGGTGACTATAGTGGATTGGTGGTGCGTCTGGCATGTTGTTCGATCCAGCTTCGTTGTTGTCTTCAGGCGCTGATGTTCGCCCTTCTATTCCGGCATGCGCCATGTTGCTGAGATTTCTAAGGGTAGGGAACCTATCGATATAAAGGTGACAATGGCCTTGAATCAGGATCGGGGCATATTACATTACCTAACTCCAAAGCCCGCGCCTTCAAGAAAGAATTTGGGGGATATGTAGGGGTCATATTGAGCACGACCCATGTTTGCACAGTTCCCTCAAAAGGAGGGCTCCTTGTCTGGAGTACCTGGGCACCTCTGAGCAGCCTAGATAGCCTTTGGGCTCAACAAGCGCAAGTAAGGAAGAAGCTTCTGCATCTTTTGACAAGGGTGTCACGTCTTGTTGCACATGTTGATGAAAGCAAAGCCCCAGCAAACACACTTGACCCTTAACGCCTTTGACCCTGAGCACCTGATCCATGCATTCGTCGAATCTCTACACATGTTTTTGAAGCTCCTGTCCCTGCAGAATACTTTTGGATTCCAAGAGATGAGAGCAGCCTCGCCGCTCGTCTTGTCGATCCTGACCACTGTCTTGCTGCAGGAGCGCCATTTGGACCAGGTCAGGATGCTACAGATAAAGGTAGGCGCCCACCCACATAGCCTCCCCAGGAGGGTAAAAGAGATTATCTTTTGCATTGGGGTCTCCATGGCGTATGTGGGCAATGATTGTCAAACGCAAGAGAGACTGGGTACTCGTCCCCCATGTCCCCAAAACGAAAAGGTCCCTAATGTAAGGATCCCCAGAAACGGACTCCTCAATTCTTGTAAGCTCTAACCCCCATACAGCCCTATGTATGCCTTAAACCCTTACCACCCATTTGCAACGCAATTGTTGAAGCAACGCAGTGCTGCGCGCAAGGCCACCTTCGTCCACTTTCCGGTGCCATCACAGAGGCTGGGAGGATGTCACACCGGGTGGCAAGAGGGCAGACCTAGAAGTGCCTCAGTATGACCAATCGAGCCCGATTTTGGCAAAAAGTGATTCTGGAAGGGGGAACCCTTGCGTCGAGAATACCCGAACTTAGCCTAATTTGGTGCAATGGTGAATCTTGGGGTCTTACATTGCAAGGAGCAGCAGCAGCAACATCAGTAGGAGGAGGACGATCAGCAGGGGCATCACTTACAGCTTCCGCACCATTCTCATTCCTGTTTTTTGTTTCCAATGCTTGCAAGTAGCGGGTCCCAGAACCAGGTTTCAAATATTTTGGTTACTGATGAACCGGAAGCTGCAGGCACGCCAAGTATCACCAGGATTGCTTCGTAATCTCAACTCCCAAATTGGAAAAGAAGGACCCCATAATCAGGCTCAGGCTTTTTCAGATTAGTCCTTCAACCCCAATCGCTCCCAAAGTCGCTTAGAAAAGAGGTCAGAAGCCCTCAACCCTCTTGCCTTCACCCCAACAACCTCATGCCTTTGCCGAAAACATTTTCCGAAACACTGCAGCCCTTTGGCTTAGCGCGTCCGTGGACGTGCCCCAAATGTAGTTTGGGCGATGCTGCGATGGGCAAGCATTGCTGCGCTCCTGCTGCCTCTACAGGCATTCGGGGTATATAGCGCCGCTGAAAGCAACGTCGCAAATTACCGATTTTAGAAGAAGGGTTACTGCCCCATGGGATCTTGAAGACAGGTATGAAAGAGCTCAGATTGTTTTAGCTTGTCATCCCTCATGGCTACCATCGTGGGCTGCACATTGTCGTCTCAAATGCCCAAGGACTGCATGTGCCAACCTTACTGAACCGCATGACCCAAGGCTTAGGGTTGATGGAGAAGGCAGTGTTTGCGTCAGAGGACTCATGTGTACCTCAGGTAGTGCAACGGCCTGCTTTGCGACAGTCTGGGTTTAATAGGGGTTAGGGAAGCTACTGATTCAAACTTACAGTTCCGGGTTGTAGGGTTTCGGGGTGCAGGGACAGTAGTCGTCAAAACTATCATTATGGGTTACTACCCCCCTCTATACTATCCTTACATAACCTGAAAAAATTGGGGAACCTAGGGGGGGAGGTTGGTATAGGGGTGTAGTAAGGAAACCAATGAAACTAGGGTCAGGCCATGCTTGGTTCACACTGACAGACATTCAGCAATCTTTGCGTAAGCCTGAAGTAGGTTTCCCGGCCCGTCGACGCATTCGTAAGTAGTTAGGGATGTCCAAAGCATTTTTCAAATTTGCTTGCTACTGTATAATCCCTGAGGAGAGCTGAAATCACAATTTTGGATCAAGTTCCAAGGCACCCTTGATACAATCTTGCATTACGTTGGATTCCCAAATTTCACTGCAACTGATGGCTTGAAATAAAAACCTTAACCCCTTTGCACCCGAGACCCTGATCCGTGGGCATGAAGGAACCCTAAACCCAGAATCCTACAATTGGAATACCGTACGCAATCGCTAAACCCTTCAAGCCTAAGCCCCTAAACCCTAAGCCTTGGAGTGGCAGGTCGTATGTGAGCTTTCGGATGCTAGCCCCCTGGGCAAGGTTCGTGGTTCGCAGTCTGATCTGTAAAGCCATTGAGGGCTCAAGGTTTACCAGATGGCACATTGGGATAACTAGTGGCTTCCAGTTTTCTATGGGGACCTGCTCATGCGTACATTCTGGTGCCTTCAAAATCCCACCCTATATTGGCAGTGGCGACGCACTTATGTCATCTCAACAAAAATGCGGATCCCATCCCTACCCTAGATTCGCAAAGATTCTACGCAGTACGTGACAAATTGTGGTCGATGCTGCATAGCCATCGCTGGAACATCTACAGCCGACTTCCCAGGGCAGTTTGGTCCCATGCGAAATTCAGACATGACTGACCTACAATACTCTAAGCCGTCTAAGCCCCAAATCAAGTAGGAATGGAGGGATTCTAGCGGCAAGTGCTTCCCATAATGTACAAGCCTGAATAAGGAGGAATATGCTCCCAGCCCCTCATTCTGGAATTCTGGTATGATCTACGCTGCTGAAACGCTTCATAATGGCCTTGTTTGAGGAGTTAGATAATGTGCTGTATCTATCCGTTTATGAGCCCTACGTCAACCCTACGGTAACCCTTTAAGTAGGTTCCCTAACCCATTAGTAAATCAAGGGTCCCACAAATCAGGGACCCTGAAAGCTTGAGATTTAACTCTGCAGGACCGTGGTGGTACTTAAGCTTAGGAAATCTACTTGTGAAGGGCGACGTCTGGTCAGACACGGGTCATCTATGTAGGGGATGCAGTAACATGTGGCCGAAGACTTTCTAGGCCATCATGGACCTTCAGCCCAAACCCTTAACCCCAGTGAGTCACTAAACTGTTCTGCAGAGGCCTTGGAGCTGATCTCAAACCTCAAGAAGCATGTGGAGCAGGCCCAGCTGTGTAGTGATGGGTGTTTACTTGTACTAGTGCTACTTGGTTTACTTGTACTAGTGCTACTTGGTTTACTTGTACTAGTGCTACTGTCGCACAACCACCCTTGCAACAGCAGTGCAACCGCGTCATGCCAGGGCCAGTAGCAAAGCCAATAGGCAGTTGCTTGCTTGCCTAAGGCCGTAAATCCTGCATCCCAAACAAGAACTTTCAATCCTTCGCGCTAAATCCCAATCCCTATAACCCCCTGTCAGTTTCCATTTCATTTTCAACTTTCTTTTCCGTTTGAATCTTCATTATTGGGTGTAATATCCGTAGCTAAACCCCAAACCCGAAATCAGCTGCACTTGCAGGCCAGGGGTTTATCCAGTAGTAGGTTTGCGGACCGGAGCCAAATGGATCGGCCAAGGTCGGCAAACCATTTCCAAAGGGTTGAGAGATAGATTTCTGCAGTAGGGGGAGACTACAGGTTTCAACTGTATATCGGATGTTCCTTCTTCCTCTATTCCATCTCCGGGTCACTGCTGTGCAATGTCAAGATTGCTATCAATATCAAGCCTATACCCTGTACTGCCTCACCAGGAACTTCAGTGGACCTGAACCTGTGGATGGAAGAAATCCTGCGCCACCCCAAGTGCGCCATACCCTATGATTAGTAGTTGCAGGGACCCATTACGCCCTACACCCCAGGAAGCACAAGTGATGCACAATTTCCTGGATCCACGTTAGCAAAGCCTACCATCCCCCAAGTTTGAAGAGCGGAGGCACAAAACATCTGTCACGAGTTACCTAGGATATCAAATGCTTACCTCAAAGCCCCCGTAGTGCAAAATCCTCAGACATAACTCCAATATCGGACCTATACTCGCTTCCCACGTCTCCTTCAGCACCAGTATACGTCAACCCCTATGTCTGGATTGGAGGATGGAGTGAAGCAGCAGGAGGCCTACAAAAAGTACAAGGCCCGATGGGTATTCAAGATGGGTATTCAAGCAGGTTTTCCATAAAGGGCTTAGGGATGTTGATATTACCACCCAAAGTAGCGATCGAAAAGACAAGAGAGTGGGAAATGGAATTGAAATGGGGCTTATGGAGTGGATTACAGGGATCTGGGTTTCCAGAAACAAGGGGTCCTTGTTTGCTGGCTTCATAAGTCGTATAGTGCAATACTTTGGGGTCTTTATCTAGGTCCCTTTATTTCGGGAAACTACCTCCCGAGATTTTTGGAAGCTTGGGATCTGTTGGCTTTAGGGTACACAAAAATCAGTTCCGGGAATAAGGTCTTTGAAGCATAGCACTGTATATGCTGGTAGTTCAAGTCTCGGCGGTTTTATCTGATAGCACGATATATACCACATGTTACAGCTAATTACTGGAATTGTTTTAGCCCCTTCGCTCAACCCTAAGAACTCCTACATAAAAGCCGATTTCCATTTCATTCTCCATATCATTCTCCATTCCTTTCTCCATTATTGGTCCTGGTAGTTGTTCATAATATACCTTAAACTACGCTAAGAACATGTTCGATTGAAGTTAATACAGGCATGGGCCCTGCACAATAGACTTGCTCGGTACTATCTTGCAAGTAGAAAACGATCCCAGTCCAATCCCGCAGGGGATGCCCATATTCTCCTCATAGTCAACCTCAGTTACAAGAGTCCATATAGAATCCCAAACCCCTAGCACCTTGTTTGTTTTTGTAACCCATTTGGACCTGTCAAGCTCGACCAGTCCAATCCCAATGGGATGCCACCTTTTTCACGTTTGGGGCGAGTGTCTCAATTCGCCCTTCCTATTCAATCTTCCTCAGTGAAAAGGGCTTATAGGATATATATTAGTAGAGGAGACACAAACCCTAGTTCAGTCTTCGCTATGAGGCGGGCCCCACAAGAATCCAACAAATCCCGTTTGTGACGCGCACTCTTCGCTGGCATTTGCGTCAATATCTTGCAAGAGTGAACCGTTGAACCATTTGGCTAGTTGCTTGATTTGCACACAAGGCGCAGCTCAAATGTGGGTGATTGTTTTTAGCAGCCGACCATATATGACACCCGCTCCCAATGTGGTGGCCTGCCCCCCCCCCTCTCCCATGTCCCTGTGATGTGGTGATGGGCTGCGATAGGTATGATAGGGGGTTTACAAGTGGCGGGGTATGTTGGAGAACCGCACACCTTGAACAGAGGACACCAGGGCTACGCAGGCCTGTCTGTTTTGACACTGACGAATCCCTGAACAGTCATGGCTTCATCCCGGATCACCTTATCCCCTGATGACCCCTTTAAAGGGCCCCCAGAACAGCCAGCCATGCTGGAATTTTCCAACTTACGATCAGGATCAAACAATAGAACACAAATGGTTTGTGATATCCCTACCTAGATTCTCTTGAAACTTGTACATCATCTCAGTTTCCATTTCGTCCCTACACTCTCTAAACCCCATATTCTTCCTGTATGATATGACAGCAATATATCGGGTCCATAGGCTGCCTCCCATGATAGGTAACTATGCCCCTCGGAAAGTCCCATTTTCCAGGATTGGTGTGAAGCTCAGAGCGGAGAGCTCCTGCGGGAACTGGAAACTGAGAAAAAGGCCAAGCAAAAGATGGAAGCTGATGCTTCTCTGGAAGATGATAGCTTTAGGATTAGTAGGGTGCATTGTTTTTGGGTTTTGTGCGTCAACGGTTCAGGGATCCGAACGGCTTTCTGGACGGCCACTGCCTCTGCTTGAGTTTAACTCACTTAACTCTAGGACTTCAGACAGGTATTCTTCATAGACTTCAGGGTCCAAAGTAGTTACTGTTTTTAGGCTCAGGGTAAAGACTAGCAGCCAGCAGCAAATCGTTCACTAATTTGGCATATCTTGATAACATCGGATGTGCCCGCATGCCTTCAAATTTTACGACATCTCCGCGCACCTGCGCTTCCATGTCATAACTCGCAAGACTATGTGGTTCCCCACAAGTTTATCCCTCAGCATCAGGAGTTCAGGGTCTCCAAGAGCAAAGCCCAGGAAGTCCTCCATAAGAATTCTCAAAACCCATTCCCCGGCCCCAAATCTAGCAAGAGGCAAGACGAGGTTGGGATTTGTAGGGCTCAGAGTATTTCTTCTTAGAACCCCGAGGAGATTTACGAGGCAGAAGCGGCGATCGCTTCTGCATCAGCTGAGATCCAGAAGTTCGTCTCGCAGGCAAACCTAACATGAAGTGGTAAGCTTATGATCTCCTGAGGACTAGTGTCTCCGTAGTAGATACTTAAGGGAAACTCGGCTTGATTCTGCTGTTTAAACAACAAATCAAAGAGCCCTGATTCAACACCTACATTTGGCGTAAACCCATTATAGGCAGCACCCAACCGGACAGATTAGCTTTGGAAACCCCATGTTTTCCAGCTTCTAACCGCGTGTCATGTGGGGTTTAGCTGTTCACATTTAGGGCTTCAGGTCGCAGTGTTGAGGGTTCAGGGCTTCTGCCCCGGCATTTATATACACTGTATATAATATACTTAGGCCCAAACTATGTGTACCTACATGGGAGAACTGTTCTATGTATTTACCTGGGGGCCCTCGCCTTCTCTGCCATCATCCGTCGCAAAGTCTTTGCTCTGGATCCTCAAATTTGAGGCTTTAGGCTTGGTTGGAGCTGGGTGGAGCCCAAGATCGTGCCTTGACAGTCACACATTCTGAAACCTCGAGCCCTAAGCCCGCACCCAACACCAAGATACCTGGCGTTCACCTAGAGCTTGTTCAACAGTTCGCTGTGCATATGAACTTATGGACGCTGCCGAGTCTGTATTTGTATTTCGGGTGCAGGGCAACATGGGTGCAGCTGGGGCGGTTGGCCTTGCAGGCGCAATGTGAAAACTTGTAAAGCCCCTGGCCCTCCAAGTAGGTGAGCCGACCAAGACCGGCATAGGAGAAGGTTCAGGGTGTAGCGTTTTGCGGTTTCCCTCCCTAGCTCAAGTTTGACTAACATGGAATGGAAGCCATATCAGTCACTTTGAAAGAGCGGTAGTCTTGAGGGTGCCATTTCTGGGCTTTGCTAAGTTTCAGGATTGCACCCCATGCGCTAGCAGTCCCGTAAACAGATAGTGGCGCGTTTCTCATCGTAGGACTTGTCCAAGACTGTCAGTATAGACTATGGAGCACGATCATAGTCCGTTTTCAGTGGTAGATGCTTAGTAAGACGAATTGGATCTTATTTAGCTCAACCACGCAGACTTACGTGTACTTTCTTATGGTCGCAGTTGGACAAAGAAGAACGGATCCTTATAATAAGCAGCCGCAATAAACCCAACAATAAGCACTATGCTTCATTTCTTCCCTAACCACAGTAAGCAAAAACACCCTTCCCCCTGAACTTCAGTTGCTGAAGGTTGCACGAGCTGACGCCAAGCTCAACGACGCAAAGGAACTGAGGCAGCAGGCCAAAGACGGGTCTGCTCATACATTTCTATGCAGGGTCTTAGGGTTTAGTGTCGACTTCCAGGTCTCAGGGCTCTAGGATGTTTTAGGGGTTTAGGGTCTTCAGGTTCCGAGTCTATGGTCTTAGGTCTTAGGTTTTACATTGTAGGTTCTTTCGCTTTGGTATCTTGCAGGGTGCAGTGTGTGCCTGTGTGGGTTTAGGGTCTCCAGAACCAGGGGTGAGTAGTTAGCGCTGGCCAGACTGCAAGAATGAGTATGATGAAAGTAGTTGCTACTGGTGACTTGAAATCGCGGTCACGAGCCCAAAGCTCTACAGAGAAAAGCCACTTTGACTACAAGCAATCTAGATCCTGCACCCTGTCCAGAAGCTAGTCGAGCTCCAAGACCTGCTGCAAGAAGAGGGGTGTGGTGACCCCAACCCCCCAAATTAGGATCATGTAGAGACTACCATCAGGATCTATACGCTTCTTCCCTCGGGCTCAGTATTTCCAAGCTGGGCTGCTAGAAAAGCCGCTGATGGAACAGTACTCAGCCAGGGCCTCGCAAAGCAGAGGTGGAGCTCACACCTGAGTGGAGCCAGCAATCCTACCAAGAACTTTAAAAAATCATTCAACTACAGAATGTGGTTTGTTTTGAAGGCGTCAACTCGTTGCTTCACTGCATTTCAGGGTTCAAGATGAAGTGTCCGGGTTTGCTGGGCCGCTGCCAAATACGCTCTCCCAAACCAACTCGTATCACCTAAAGGGCTCCTGAAAGGTCAATGTCTAAACAGTGGTATGATGTCTAGCTATGTCATGTATAACTCTTGTGGGGACCCATGAAAGCCTCTGGCCGTTTTGTCGGGGCTGCGGAGCTATGAGAGTGGAACTAGATTTATAAACGCGCCCCAAGGCTCCACGCCACATCCAGTAACCTTAAACCAAAGTTGGCACAACTGGATCAAAGGGTGCTTTTGATGACAAGTGTGTTAATTCATGATCCAAATTTCAGCGTCGGGTCCTGTTGGCAGGGCGCTACTCGCTGAAGGGCTCACGCTGTTTGAAGGGCATATGGCAGTATATGACGACTGCAATGCTGAGAACTCTGCGGCATCTTACGTTGCAATCAGTTGATCGCTTGCACCAATGAATCGGCAAGTCTACCCTGCCAGAGCAGGGACTTCCTAAAAAGTAAGCTCGCGGTCTCGGGACCTCGTGTTGAGTTTGGGCTGCTCTGGAACGTTTGCTGTACACCGTTAACCTGCAGGAGCGCAAGGACTTTGAGACATCCCAAAAGTCCTTGTCGGACACGATCACCCTCCTGGACAAAGCAGGGGAGGCAAGCCCAAAAGGAATCTGTGTGGGTAGGGGAAACCCACAACCCTAGGTCCCTTTTAAGAAGTTGTAGGCCATACATTGCCATACATGTACACATACAAGCACTTATGTGTGGGGATTCAGTATGTAGAGGTTGTACGGACAATGCAGGGTATATCCAAGCAAAATCCTGCTGTCTCTTACGATTGTTAGGGCACTGGTGGCTGGTGTTTTATCATCTGCCTACCTGGATTTCAGATTGCATCTTAGAGGCCCTTCACACTTTCGAGCGCAGAAAGTTTTTGCGAGGCACGTCTTTTGCCATGAAGGCGTCTCTGGAGTGGTCCACGCTTTCTTCCGTGCACTGGATCTTGGGTAACGCCCGATGGGGACCCTGTCCACATCCGCGTGAGAACATGAGGTCATTCACACACTGTGGTTTTGCAAACATTGTGCCGTCAATTCGATCCCAGCCCGTCCTGTTGGCTGGACCTCTGGTGGACAGATTGCTACGTCAAACCCCTTCCCTTGTCCATGGTTTGAAGTACATAAGTGTACGTCCCGGGTCCCTTTGCACCTGCCCGCTGTCTGTCTGACGGGTAGCCATCTGATTTCTGATTCCCTGATACTTCCTGCATCCGTTGACGCGTACGCGGTACGCTGGAAATATTGCTCATTGCCAGATTGTCCTTTGGATTTATGGCTGGTATGTGGTTCCTGCACAACAAAGAAAAAGATTGGGTTGTCTTCCCAGGCGTGCGAATATGGACCGGATCCTGTTTCTCAAGCTTGAAGGGATCCCAACTACAACCTTATATTAACCCTAAAGTGCCTGAGGGTACCGCATTTATTGGGAAGCCCCCTGTGGGTCTAGGGTTGCGGGCTTGTTAGGGTCTGGTATTTCTGATCTGGCAAGAGCACTCATAACAAAACAGGCTCTCTTCGGTCATTGCAGGCCATCTTTCTGACCATTACTGTCACTACCACTTTCCGGATGACACTAACCCTGCGCCCTCCTAAGGCCTTGTCGCCTATTGTAGCCATATTCTAAACTCCAGGAATAACCCTTAGTAAGCCCTATAGTACTCCCCTATATCATCCCCTACACCCGTTTTTAAGCAGTTTAGATTATAGCTCATTTGGGCGAAGAAGAGCATCCTGGTGGCGAAGGCTAGGCCCAGCTCTTCATTCCCGCTAATTAAAAAAACATCACCAACTTTCAGCCCTAAAGTTCCAAATAATTCTTCCAATGAACAAAATCCCTGGAAGTCCCCAAGATACTCCCCCAAGAGATCCCTACAGGAATGTTGTTAATCAGGTTCTTGCTGGAGAGAAATCCTCCAAAACTTCAACAGGGCTTCTGTGCCTCAGCAGCCACAGTGGAGCGGGGCCTTTTGCTCATGTACTTGAGGTTGAGTTTAGGGTTAGGGTTTAGGGGGCTTGTGGTTGGTAGCAAAGGGAGGACTGGAACCTTGGGATGACGGTTAGTGAATTTACAGGGACTGCAAACGGAATCAATGGTGATCTGTTCCCAGCTAAGAGTCCTCATGGACTGCAACGCCCAAACCGGGCGCCAAGTCAGGGCGTGACCTCGCATACTGCAGGCCTTGATTGCGTTTAGTGCCTTGTAAGCTTCCAAACATGCAGTCCCGACCCACGATCACGGTGGTATTTAGGTTTTGTGGGATCACCACAGGTGCAGAAATTACGACTGAGGATTCAGCATGGCCTTGTGAAAGCCCTCACAGCACGAGAAGTACTTGGATATCCCTGCTGCGCCCCCATGGTTTGAATAAGAAGAGAACAGTTTACAGCTCCGACTGTGGCCTCCAAGTATATAAATGACACCTAATTACTTTGAGACCTGCGGTCGATAAATGCTGCCTGGGCCAATTTGGAATTTGAGGAGTATCGCTCGAGAAAGATGTGCGTGTCTGGAAAGCCAAAGCTTCCAACCCGAAGCAAGCATGCGGAACGGAATAACATGCTAAGGGTGTCCAAGAATGACCGGGCCCTTTACTAGGGTCACCTGAAAACGGAAACCACTAAGCTTGGAACCCGGCAACTCGCAGAAGTGGCTTCAAGCACTCTTCTGAGCCTCATACCAGGCAAGTGTCATCCGAGGAGGCGCGCGCGCGCAGTCTTACCTAGGGGGATCCTTGAGTCCACAGAAAGCCCAGTACGCCTTGATGAAGGAAGATGACCTAAATTATAATTGGGCCACTCATTTGATTCAAGGTTGACCTCTTCATTTCGAAGTATTGGGCTCCGGGCCTCTCCCTACCCAGAACCCCCAACCCATTCTTCAAACTCGAGAGACATACTTCAAGTCATCGCCACATCTTAATCTACTTAAGGTTGTGGAGGCTTTGGGTGTGAGACTTGGGGAACAGTCCGTAAAGGGTCAAGAACGGCGTTGCCAATGGTCGTTGTTGGATATACTTTACGACCATGTCTCTAAATCCTATACCTGCAGAAGTGGTGGGGAACCCAGTCTCGATGACCTGTTGTGCCAAGACATCAGATCGTACTGAGTCATAGAAGCTCTGCATGTCCAATAGCATTGCTGCGTGTGAGCCCCATGCAGATTCAGTCCGTCATTCTGCAACTCAATTTTCAAAACCCGTTATGGAATGGAATCAGTATACCTAAGTCCTCATGAACCTGAATGTACTAGAGGGTTCAGTGATATTTCTTGGTGGAAGGGTCTAACCTCCCAAAACCCTAGACCTCTGAACTCTACGCCCAAAGAGGATTTCTGGCGTTTTGGGGACCGCCTGGCCCAGTAGTTATGCCTGTGGGCGAAACTGTTGCAGGCCACGCACGTCAACGACATGCTGCTGAGCTGCACAACTAGGTACCGGGATGTTTGCAGTAGAAACATCAGGAATGAACGTCAGATGATAGTATGGGCCAATGTGCATGTATTGGTGAAACGGTTTGGGAGGATTTTGGTATGCAAATTAAGGTGAATGCAGGAGATTTTGCACCCTCTACAATTCCTGGTTGGGACCTTCCTGATTGCTGTGCAAAGATGCTGAAAATTAGATCCGGGGATCGTGCAAGATTTCCTCCAGTCTCCATACGAGCGAATAACCTTCCCCAGATGGTTGCACTGGAGGAATAACACATCATGACAGGACTGCCAATTGTGCAGACGCCTGGCAAGATCCAAGGGAGGGTCTGAATTGTTGGTACCAGAGCCTTCTGTGATCTTCTTTGTAGTTCAAGCCTCTTTGAGCTTTCCTGTGCGGGAGCCGATTCTGTTGAACAAAAACAAAGTACATTTCAGCCGATGATGGAGTTTTAGGTTTCTGTGTTTCCCATGACTTTGACCTATCCAGAGCTAATATGCACATTGAATCAGGTCCCACAGGCATTCAAGATTGGGGAATGACGTAACAGCATATTAGGTACGAAGCCACTTCTTCTTGGTACATGGGTTGTTCTAGGCAACCCTGCACGATAAGCCAAGCACGGGAGGAGGTGTGCGGCTACGGATGACTATTTACCTGGAGCTTTGTATACACAGGGAGCGGATCCCATCAGTACTATAGTAATTCGCCCATTCCTAGCCAAGCACCAGGGAGCGTTTCGCTCTTGTTTGAAGATTCTGTAACTAAGCGGTATTGACCGGTATTGGGCCCTCTGGGTAATTTGTTTTCGGCCACTCGCACATTGAATTGACTTGACGAGAGCACTGTGCAATGACTGACGCTGTTTAGAACCGCTACGCGCGAGGGGGCTCAAACATGCAAGCGCGCCGCAAAGTAGCATGTCCCGCAAGAATCACGTACAACCCTGAATAATTACCAAGAACGACCCCTTAATTTGGATCGATCCTGACATGTATATAGACTTTGGTAGAGTGTTCTTATTCACGCCCCTACACTTCACACAGGAGTTCTGTCATCAGTCAAGTTTTGAGCCCTCAGGACAGGCATCGGAACATTATGAGTACAACGGGCACCTAGTTGGAGGTTCATGGGTAGCTCCGTACGGTGATATGAGGAGGATGAGTGTACGTGTATCTAGTGGAAGCCTGAAACATTTGTGGCACGGCATTTACTTCGAACAGCGCTTGAACCGCCAAGTACTCTTGCATCATTGAGCTGTTGATGCTCGCCATGGCGCTGGGTTTGGGTCGCTTCAGGCCCTCCGAATGCTGGCGGGCATGCGACTGCGAGAGCTGGCTCACTGCGCTCATGATCTTTCTGTTCGGATGCTTTCTGCTGACCGTCTTTGTCATGATTCTCGCCGTGCGCTCTCTCTTCTGGGGGCTGATGATCATAGTGGTGACGGCTGGCCTTCTAATTTTGGGTGGTTTTCTCCTTCTTCGCAAAGCTGAAGCAAGCATTCGCGAAGTGACTGCCAAACCTCACTTTGGGTCAGAGTTGCGCTTCACCTGGGCCTCGTGTCGCTTTGACAGAGTGGGGTCCTGGCCCCGGCCAGCGTTCCGTCACTGGGTTGCCGTCAAGGAATTTAAGTTAAGTTACTATAATGGGTATATATAATATAATAGGTACCATGGTTCCCCTAATATAGTAACTCAAGTTACCAGAATAATGTGTATAGATGATACATAGTATGGTTTCCCCAATATAGTAACTTAAATTCAAGCTCCTTAATCGCAACCCAGGTCAGGTCTCCATGAGGCGGGGCCCCAATGGACCCGGGGAAGCAACAGAGTGGGCCAGGTCCCCCCCACTTTCGACCATTGGCCCAGTGGAGGTGATGCCACAGAAGACGTGCCTGTGTCGCTGGGACTTGTCCCTTAATTGTGTTTTTTTTGAGGATTACATATTGTGTCCCCACATAAACCAAGAGTCAAGAGGCTAACCTTAGAAATTTATAGATGCTAGACACCTGGGAAACCACGAGACATAACCCGCTACTGGACACTTAAGGTTGTCTGGAGGAGTTCCTTCCATCAAGCCAAGTTGCCATCCTTCCTTGTGGCCACATCTACCACGAGACTGGGCTTGCCAGCAAAACCTTTTTTTGCTTTGGGGGTCCTGCTTA